CCTCAGCCCTGCACAGGCCCAGCCCCAAGAGTCACCCCCTGTGCCCCAGAGGATCATCCAAAGCCTCCTGCAGCTCTGGCAGCCTTGGGGCTGTGCCCACTGCCCTGGGGAGCCTGTTCAGTGCCCAACCAGCCTGTGGGGGAAGAACCTTTTGCTGAGATCCACCCTGAGCCTGCCCTGACACAGCTCCAGGCCATTCACAGGGACAGAAATTATAATAATGAGCACTTCATCATCAGCTCCAGTCACTCCTTTGAGGTTCATGGGCCAGTCCTTGTCTGAAAGCATCTCCTGCCCATCCTTCCCCCTGGCACCTCCCAAGCCCCAGGGCAGCCCTGGTTCCTCCAGGATCTGGGGGGAGCAGAGAGGGGGACAAGGCTGGGGCAGGTCTTCCCTGCACCCTTGAGCCCTTGAGAACTTCCTCAGGTGGGTGAACCCCAGCTGAGAAGAAGTTTTGGGGAAATCCCCCCTCTGCTTCTGGCTGCAGTTCTGCCAGTGCCAAGCACTGCTGCTCCCAACAGACCCTCGGAAACATTAAACCAAGACACTGAATTGAGGCTCAGGGTTTCACCTCACAGCATTTAATCAAAATGAATGTTGTAAAAGTGTCCTTAAAGTGAATCCTAAAGTTTGCACATAGGTAAGTGGCTTTCAAGTGCTTCAGACAACGTGTTTACAGCCCCAAACCACCTTTCTGCTCTAACAGCCACCTCAGCACTCCAATTACAAGGGCTGCTTATGACTCTGTGAACATCTTCTACAGTCTAAAAGCTTTTAAAGTGAGGTTCACAGCCATTAACAAGGTAAATACATTTGTAGATCTGTTTGGGCAATTATAATAATTCAAAAAACAATGCATAATAACAGACATGAATCTAATAAGCCATTGCTAATTAAATATATTAATGCTGCTTTATAAAGTGAATGCATCCAGCTGATACACTGCAGCAAGTTTTGTGCTGTAAATACTTGAGCAGTGACACAGGCAGAATTTGCATCCCTGGGCATCACAAGTGCCCAATTATAGCTGCAATTACTTTGCTCCAGTGGGCCCAGTCTACTGCCCTTGGACCAGGCTCTGCTTTTGTATGTCTAGTCCTCATTTTCCTTTGCTCTGTGAGCAACAGTTGCAGCAGAATGGAGCTGGTTAACCCCCAAATATGGGACACGATTCCAAAGCATTTGTGAAGACTCCACTTTGAACTGTGCTCTTCTGCCAGTTATAATTTGCAGCAGGTAAAACACTCCCAGGCTGTGGGAAAGACACTTCTCTGTCCCAGGAGAGTTCAGTCAATTTTCCCTGACATTAAGTGTCCAAGAGCAGTTTTCCTCCTTTCACTTTCATCTCTTTGGAAAATGTCACCAGCCTGGAGTTAACTAATTGACCACAGACCTTTTGAGGACTCAGGCCCAAAGCAACCCCGTGGAGATACAGAAAGGCTGAGCCAGTCTGGGATCCCCCTGGCAGGGAGGGGCAGCTCCAGTCTCTGCTCTCCATCAGGGGAAGGCTAGGCTGGATTTTTCTAGGAAAAGATTCTTCCCCCAGAGAATGGTTGGGCACCAGCCTTAATTAGGTCACCCCAAAGCTTTTCTCCTCCAGGCTGAGCAATCCCAACACTCCCAGCCTTTCCTCCCAGCAGAGCTGCTCTCCAGCCCTCTGATCATTTTAGTGCCTCCCCTGGCCTTGCCTCAAGAGCTCCGTGTTTCCTGTGCTGGGGACCCCAGAGCTGGAGGCAGCACAGGTGGGGTCCCACCTGACCCCCTGCCCCATTGCCCACCCTGCTGGCACAGCTCCCAGCACTGCCCAAACCCCTGCCCTGCTCCAACCCAACCTCAGATGTGCCTCAAGGTCACCCAAAGTGCTCAGCCCTCAGCACTGGCTGTGCCAGCTCTGGGGATGGGGCTCTGGACAGTCTCTCCACTGCAGGCAGGGCAGGCAGGAAGGGGCACATTGGCAATGCCAAGTGGGCAGCTCTTCTGAGAGCTCAGGGACAGACAATGTAGATCTTTGCCAATGCACTGCTCCCAGTGACCAGCCTGGCAGCTGGATTTAATGGCCTGCTTTGGGCAGATATGGCTGGAATATCTCACACCTGTCAGATTTTTTTTTTCACCCCCTAAAGCACCAAATTATTCACCATCGTCTTGTAGCATTTTGCAGCCAACTCTCCTGTGATGATTTTCAAAGGATGAGGAA